GTTGACTGTTGAAGAGCAATGAAACTCTTATCTTCGGTTATGTCTGTGGCTGGTCTGTGGCTGGATATCCTAAATGAAATTTATGTGAGTATAAAGCCTAAAACACCTCATATAATCTAATTTTGTAGGTCAAGATGATCAAGCTTGTTTGCTGGTGGAGAGAGAAGAGGAAGTTTAACAGTAGGTGCAGGAGACAATGAGGGATTGGTGGTAGCATTGGGATAGTGATTGTGCATGAACTAGTGGCAGTTGTGGTAGGGGACTTAAGGTTGTATGAAATTGATGTTTGGCATAGCTCGTTGATAAACTGAGTTAGATTCTTCCATTGGAATGTAAACTCCTATACCCAGCAACAGCCAATGAATATAATACTTCTTCTACTATCTGTCATATTCTCCCTTTCAATTAGTTAACCCCATTATTGCAATACCCTCTACACAGTACTAATCAGTAAACAAGTCTCAACTCTCAACTCTCATACACAGTACTAATCCATGGACTTTTGTATTACCATTGTTCTTTAAAAACACAAGATCAATTCGGGCAGTTCAGAAACAATTTTCAAAAATCCAGCAAACAGCAGGGGATCAATGAAAATCATACGACAGTTTAAATACCTTAACATCTCTTCGAAGACATTATACAAGTGCAACCATAATGAAACAGATCGATGACATCTAGCATCAACAGTCCTATAAGAAGAAACCACATCTCCATACCAGCAGCAAGCCAAAAAACAAACTCTCCTAACACTCAAATTGCATATTGTAGCAGCAAATTCCATCCAACAGTATTAAAAAAATCATGGGAGAGCTGATCGCCCTCAAGATAGAATGCATTTCCCTCACGAACTCAACCTCATGATGCTGCAACGGCTTCTGCAATAAATAAATTTCAGGAAAATGAATCATAAATCCAAGGTTTATCAAATCTTATAGAATTTCATATATAAGATAGTTGTAGCATACCCCTCTCAGCTCCGATTCTCAAATGACATATTTTCCTTATCCTGAGCCAGCCTTGCCCTTTCATCCATTGCAAACAATAACCCAGACATAGAACCACCAACTTCAATAGATGGCGACATTCCCATATTTGGACCTTCTCTTGCAGAATCATCATGATTTATAGTAGTGCTCGAGCCCCCAACATCACTTTCTGTTGGTCTCTGAGGAAAGTTCCTATAATCATGTCCTGGATTCTTGCAGTACTTACAATGTCTTGCCTTTCTGCTGGTTGGATTCGGGTTAGAAGAACCTTTAGTTTTCACAACTCGAGGATCCTTGACTATAACTCTACTTGTACTAGCTTGTTCAGATGTGTCGTTAGCATGTGCACAACCACTCTTAGTTGTGTCCTTCATTTTCTGCCAAATCTGCTCAGCCGAAATGATCAACTTCTCCACATCATTCTTCACCATTTGATATCCTTCATTTGTCTGTGAAGCATAATGACAAAGTTTCCCACACAAACCACTCAAGGTTACGCACCTAATCACAGTATTAACTTCAGGATTGTCCAGCTTTACATTCACATCCTTTTTTGCATTCTTACACCACCGTTTCAGTACCAAATCACGTGGTAACAGACTAATATTGTTGACTTTCATAACAAAGGAACAATGACAACAAGGTATGCCTTTAGTCTCAAACAACTGACAAGAACACCTGATATCTCCAACTGCAGGATAATAAGTGACTCTCCACTTTGAGTTAGGATCAGAATATTGAGACAGGGCATAAGAAACTCTTCCACTTTCTGTCACAGCGGATGTACTATATAGAAGTGGCTCTCTTTTCATTTGCTTTCGAAACTTGAAAAACATATCTCGAGTAAAGAGCTCAGCAGCATGTTTCTCAAGACTCAATAAATGACCATCACAAACCGGAGTTTTGTCATTACTTACATGATCATTGTGCAGCTCCTCGTACCTCAGTCGTCGTAGACCTCTGTGAAACTGTTCAACAAATTCAAATAGCTTTAGGCGACTTGTCAGAAATCTCTTCAACACTGAATGCATAGCTTCACACCGTTGTGTACTCTTCATTCCACATGTGAACTTGCCAACAAAGAATGCATGTGCCCATCGACTACGTATCATGTACATCTTGGACACCCACTCATTACAATGCAGATTAAGCTTCTCAACAGTGCTTCTCCACAACTCTTCGAAAATCTCAACTTCTTTGATTTTGTTAGCACATCTATCAAATACATTCTTGAATTCCTCTCCCTGAACATTCGAACTCACATTCCTACTCAAGTGCCAACTACATAACCTATGATGAACCTCTGGCATCACAGCTTTGATGGCTTTTCTCATCGATTTATCTCCATCAGTTAGAACAAGTTTTGGCTTTTTTCCTTTCATTGCCTCTAGAAACATGTCCAATAGCCATTTGTAACTGAAAAAAGATTCATCTTTTAACAAAGCACAACCAAACACAGTTGTTGAATGATGATGATTCGCACCCACCAGCACCACCAATGGCATTTTATAAGCATTAGTCTTGTATGTGGTATCAAACACCTAGACATCACCAAAGCAGGCATAATCTTGGCAACAGTTACCATCTGCCCAGAATAAATGCCCCAGTTCACTTTCTTCATTAACGGTGAATCTACAATAAAACCCAGGGTCACTTTCAGCTTTAGCACGCAAGTAGGCTAATGCACCTTCAGCATCACCATCACCATTACAAATTGTTGCCCTGCGATCAGCATCAACAAAATTATACAGATCTTTCGTTGTGTAACCGACATAACTATAACCACCAGTTTGGTTGACCATCAAATCCATCACATGGTTGGTTCTGATGCCTACGGCTTTCAAAGATTTGATTTGAGCCTTCTACTAAGCCAATTTGTTGATTCACCCACTACAGTTCATGAGCAAGCAACTCATAGATTACTAAGATATTTAAAAACTACTCCTGCCCGTGGCCTATTCTTTCCATCCAATTCTTCTCTTCGTCTCACTGCTTTCTCATATTCTGATTGGCTGGATGCCCTGATACTCGAAGATCAGTGACAGGTTTCTGTGTTTTCCTAGGTAATTCTCTCATCAGTTGGCGTTCCAAGAAGCAACATACAATCTCCAGGTCATCCGCTAAAGCAGAATACCGAGCCTTAGCAGATACATCTCAGGAACTCCAGTGGATGACAGCCCTGTTCAAGCAACTCCCAGTGCAACCTCAGCAGCCCTACACGATCTACTGTGACAGCCTTTCTCCAGTCAAGATGACACAGAATCCAGTTCAACAAGAAAGAACAAAACATATCGAAGTCGATTGCCACTTCACCAGAGATCAAGTACTTGCTAACAAACTGAAAGTGTAGCACATTTCTACTACCTTACAACTTGCATATCCATTCACCAAGGCTCCGCCAGTTCACACTTTTGTTGACCTCATCTCCAAGCTCAACCTGAAATCAATTCACGTTTAGCTTGAAGGGGGGGTATTAGAGATATGATGTACCAAATTGTAATAAGGATAAATTTACATAGATAGATTGTAATTAGGATAGGTACTATAATGTAATTTGATTAGGTTAGTTAGTAGTCTCGCAACTGTTTCCTGCTTCTTAGGAGAACAGAGTATAAAACCAGCAACTCTAGCTGTATAATGTACGATTTTTCACTCTCAATCAAAACAAGAAGAATTAATCAGAAATCTGACAAGAGATTAAATAATTTAAACGTGAGATTCGAACCATGATCATTAGTGAAGGGGCTAATGTTTTTCCAACCCTTAGGGATAGTTGTGCTATCTCTCTATATACATACATACATATATAATTTGTAACTTAATATTTAAAATCCAAATGATCACTTCTACAGTTCTACTCATTTAATGTTCTTCCTCTTCACTCTTTGTTTCTTCTTCTCTTTTACTCAAATGAGCTCTCATAACCTATTCAGGTAGGTCCAGTATAAATAGACTAATTTTCAATTGGGTTACTGTTTGAATTCTCTTATTTGTTCAATCTCACAATAATTAATTTTGTATTGATTTTTATTTCTTAATTAATTCTATCATTTTATTCTTGTAATAATGTAATGGCAACATATTTTTCTTTTTTTGGAACACGGATTCCAGAATTTATTCGCCAACCTTATATAGATTGTAAACGGTTTGGCTAAAGTCTAAGCTCCTGCATCAATGAGCCAGTTTCGATCCATAAATTTGTGCTAATGTGAAAATTAACATTAAGAAATGATAAATGGGGTTTTGAAATTTGAAATTATGCAATTATATATTATTACTTAATATTTAATGTTAGGAGTATGTGCAATTGTGCATGAGGTATAGACACGTGATCAGGATGGTGCGGACACCTAACAAATTTTTTTCTCTACCCTGTTAATTGCTATTAACAGAGTTTTGTTTTTTTCGGAAGGAAAACCTAACGAACGTTTTTCCTTCGTACGCTTCCGTGCGCAATGGCGGCACCACCGTCAGGCAAGCCAATGGCCCCGGCAGGGAAACCCCCCAGATATAAGTGGAAGCCGGAGGCCAGCAATGGTTTCCTCATCGCCGGACGGGAAGAGCGATCGGGAATCAGTGCAGGCAAAGAAACGTGCACGGGCGCTGGACTTGATTCGAGAAGGGGTAGGGTTGGAGGAAACATACAATGAGATGGAGACGGAGACAGGGGTGGATACTAATGCTGAGAAACAAGCACCCTCGCCATGGAAAGGCGCGGCGGAGAAGTTGTTTAAGAGCGCCAAGATGGATGCAGAAGGGTGGTACGTAGCGGAGTCAGATTCGGAGGATGTGGCGGCTTATGAAAAAGAGGAGGATGACGAGATTATGGAGGAGGAATATGACCCTCGGTGCCCCCCGGTTTTATTTACTGCGGCGGAGAAGACACGGTGGCGACGGGAGTAGCGATCAGCCTTAGTTGTGAAGGGTTTGGGCCGCCGAATCTCTTATCCGCCACTGGCTCGAAGACTGAACTACCTATGGGCGCAGAATGGTGATATTCAGATATCGGATATGAAGAACGGATGCTATCTCGTGAGGTTTCGTGATCAGCGAGACTATGACCTTGCCTCCACAAGTGGACCATGGCTGTTGGGGGATATATATTTAGCAGTCCATCGATGGTTCAAGGGTTTTAATCCCTGGAAGTCGGAGATTAAATCAACCATAGTCTGGGTCCAGCTACCAGAGCTTCCCATTGAATTTGTTAATGTCGAAGCGGTGATGAGGATCGGAGGTCTCATTGGGACACCAATTAAGGTTGATCAAGCTATAGAGTTAGGAGCAAGAGCAAAGTTTGCTCGGGTTTGCGTAGAAGTGGACCTAACCAAACGGCTCTTGTCCCAGTACAAGGTGGAAGGGATTACGTATCTAATTCAGTACGAGGGATTGGATAACACATGCGGGGAGTGTGGCATGTATGGGAAATCGACTGCTAAGTGTACATGTCAGATCATGACCTCGGATATTAATGCGGAAGAGTGTGAGCAGGTCCCGGAGACCCAGCAGCCGGATCCCACGAATGGTAGAATCTATAGGGAGTGGATGTCGGTGATGCGACGTAACAGGAGGCAACAACGGAGACCTGACAATGGAAGTGGACATAATGCAATTCACGTGAATAATGAGGTTCATGCTTTACATGAGGAAATGCAGGAGGAGGTGATAGCTATGCATGCAACGTCAGAAGAGGGAGGGGAGAAAGAGGCTGGCAAAGGTAATGGGATGGCGAATGGGAAGGAGGGGGACAAAGTAGGTAAAAAATTGGGGAAGTCACATGCCACGAAGGAGAAGGAGATGCTAAAACAGAAGGGAGGAGAAAGGCAGAAGGTCGATGATGGTCTAAGGAATGGTAGGTCCCAGGGGAAGAAAGGGGGGAAACAACCGCCCGAAGTGGTGACAGGAGTGAGTCCGGGTGGAGGGGCGAATGCTGGGAGAGATAAGGACCGAATAAGCAAAAGGAGGGTGGCAGAGGGTCTAAAAGTGCCCAATCTGAACCGAGTAAACAATAAGGAGTACACGGAGGCAATACTCATACTCGTCAAATAACAAAAATGGAAAAGGTGCGGGGAACCTATCCCCTTCGGGTCATAAATGAGAATTCTGATCTATAACTGTCACGGATTGGGGAGTAAGCGGGCAGTTAGAGCGTTGAAGTCGCTATTGCGACAAACCTCCCCGTTAGTAGTGTTTTATAATGGAAACTAAGAAGACCGAGGATGAGAATGAAGAGACTCGCAAGGCGCTGGGGTTTAAGGATGGGACGAGTTGGCCGACAGACACTTCTGTTGGGGGTCCTGCTGGAGGCTTAAGCATTTGGTGGACCGAGGAAGTTAATTTGACTGTTATGACGAAATCTTTGAATCATATTGATACAAAGATAGAAGATGAGGGAGGTATATGGAGGTTTACTGGCATTTATGGCTGGTCAGAAGGAGAGGATAAGCACAAAACCTGGGAGATGCTTCTGTACTTAGCAGCTCAGTGGTCTGGACCTGATGACTCGATATTTGCACAGGTTTTTCCCTTTGTTCCTTGATCGTTTAAGCTTGCATTATTGCTTCTTTGGCCTATTTTTGTGTTCCTTTGTCATATTTCAGGTCCTAGCACATAAAGTGAAGCATTGGCGCAAGTTTCAAGTCAATCAGAGATCAATTGGCGATTCGGGAGAAGAAACTCTGGCATGACCTGAAGAAGAATGGATTTCTACCTAACTTAATGGACAAAGAATCGTGCAAGTTTGACATGAAAAGAAAGAGGACGAGACTACGAGCGTCTGGGATCAAACGGTGACTGATTCGGAGTCCGGACGAGGGAGAAACGAAGCATTGAATATAGGGGAACAGGTTCGGCAGTAAAAACACGGGCAGGAGGCCTTCAAAACACGGCCGTTTTCTGTGACCGTGCTTTTACTGCCGAGAGCAAATCCGAGTTTGGCAGACATGAGCTGATTACACGGGCAGGGCCGAGATAAAGCACGGGCGTGTTTTCCCAAAGCACGGCCGTGTTCTCCCAAAAGCACGGCCCTGTTTTCACCAACAAGATGGCCGTGTAATTAACCCTAGCCAAAGCACGGGCGGGCTGAGGCAAAGCACGGCCGTGCCCTCGACCGTGCTTTGGCCACTGATGCCTTTTTAGGCAGATTTTCAGCCGAAAGAGGGGGGATTCGAGTTTTAGAGAGACAAAGCGAGAGAGAGAAAGCGACGAACAAGAGCCTCCAAGCGCCCTAGATCGATCTTCAACACCATTGGAGCTTGGTTTGAGCTTGGAGAAGTGCCGATTCAACGTCCAGGAGCAGAAATCCATCTTCACAGTATGATTTCCGCGTCTGATTCTGCTTTTGCTTCTTTCTCCATGGAGTAGTTCTCCCATTCGTCTGGGTGTGGGAAACCCTAGTTCTGTATGTTGAGATTGATTGTATGAACCCAAGTACTGTTTCTATGAATTGGTTATATTCGATTGAGGTTTGAATGATTGAATGACTTGAATCCTGATCAAATTCCTGTTGTTTCTGCTTTAACCTAGAATGAGAATATCTGACTAGGTTGATAGAGCATCCTTGATTGAAGGTAGGGAGTTGGTGACTTTAGTCGAGGGACCAACTCACTATTCTGTACCGGTTTTACTCCGGTAGTGGAGGTTTTGTTCTTAGGGCCTCAATCTGTTTACTCCGGTGTAGGTTAGTCGCCAGCTAGAGACTCAGATTGAGAGGGTCTGGAGACCTTTAGTCGAGACTTCAGACTGTTTAAGAACCTTCCGCAGTATAACTATCATAGAAATTGAACTTGGTAATTACAATCCGGCTTAACTGCAGACTAGGGGGAACCATATCCGGGTGACCTCTCTTAACCTGAAAACAACCGTTTGAGTTACTTTGCTTGCTTGTTAGTTTAGAACTTCACTAAAGTTTCCTCGCTAGATAATACGAATTCACTGAGTAGTCATCACATCTAGGACCCGGGTTGACATTGAAACCCAAGCCCGCTATACTACGCTTTAGGAAGTGGTTACACTTGGCCATTTTCTAGAGTGAGAGTAACAGCGAGTCAGGACCCTAGCTTTATGGGGGCGAATTCAACCAGATCTTATCGAGTGTACAAAAGAGAGGTGGGAGGTCTTCTGTGGATGCGGCCATGCTTAACTTTCATGAATGCCTTATTGACTCGGGCTTGAGGGACTTGGGCTTTAAGGGATATGAATTCACATAGGAAAATAGAAGAAGAGCGGGTGATTATATTAAGGAAAGACTGGATAGGTTTATGGGGTCTGATTCTTGGCTTGATCAACATCCTAATGTAAAGCATGAACCTCATTCTTCACGTGAATTGCATTATGTCCACTTCCATTGTCAGGTCTCCGTTGTTGCCTCCTGTTACGTCGCATCCCCGCATGTCCCCCTCTCTCCTTGCAGGGTTGATTTTATCTAAAACCAACTTCGTAGTCTTCACGCTCTGTAGAACTGCTTCCTCAACTGCCCCATCCTGAAATCCCACGTGTCTCAACTGCCTTGATCTCCTCTTTCTGCTTTGTGTAAAAATCACGTGCCATCGAAACCGCTCCTGTTTGCAGAAACTTGGCGAAACGACATTGAGCCAAATCCTACACCCTTGTCCATGCAACGATGTCGTTTCACCAATACCGCGGCATCACCTTTCACTAATCGATGCTGACAAACAATGTCGTTTTCCATTCCGCGACATTGTTTCTTTTTCAACCAAACGACACCGTTGTTCTCGTCTTGCAGTGCCGTTGGGCTTGCCAGGCCTCGCCAAAATCCAACCCGCTGTGGTATGGTCTCAAACAGAACTGCCTCGCTTAGTAATATCGCGGCGTTGTTGATGCCTTAAGCGGTGTCGTTTTTAGCTGAACAGCACCCCTTGATTCTACCCGCGACATCGTTTTAATATTAGACGACTCCGCTTCCAGCCTTGCGGTGTCGTTTTTTCTTCCGCGACACTGTTTATTATTAAACACTGTCGTTTGCTAGTATAACGGTATCGTTGGGCTTTCTCGCGGTTCCGTTTTAAATTAAACGACACCGCTGATATAGCCAAAAAATATTAATCCATGGAGCCGCCGCCAGTCGGCGCTCGCATTGGGCTGGGTGAATTTTGGTCACTTACCCGATATGATTTTTAATTAATCGGTACCGCTTACCAGGCTCTCCCGGAATCGTTTTTAAATCCGCGGTACCGTTTTAACTCTCCGCGATACCGCTTATCTCCATGCGGTACCGATTTTCCCCTTCCAACAAGGAATAAAAATATTAATTAATTATAAACAAAACTCCTTCCCCGACACCTACACTAAAACGCGCGGCCCTTTTATTTTTCAGTAAACGGTGTCGTTTCCAGTGCCGCGGTACCGCTGAGCTTCCTTGCGGTACCGATTTTCTGTTTCGCGGTACCGTTTTACTGTTTCGCGGTACCGTTTTAACTCTCCGTGACACCGCTCAACTCCAAACGACACCGTTTTTTACCCGCAGTATCGAATTAAATGCCGAGACTAATTAATGCGGCATTTAATTCAGGCCAAAATAATTTTAGGTGTCAACAGTTTGATGTATTTATACTTTAAACTCATACAATTTTATTTGGGTTAGATTGGGTTGGATTTTTAATCCATGGATTTGAATTTGTACCCACCCCATATGCAAATTACAGTTTGGTACATAAACTTAATAGAACTTTTGATTTAGTACCTAAATTAATTTATTTCCCTATAAGTCTGATTCGGGTATAATTACACATGTTTTTACCCAATTATCTTGTGATGTTTGTGGCGTTTACATTGCCCGAGTAGCAATTTTATGCTAAGTTTGTGCGTATTTTAGCATGTTTCGAATCTTAGCATGTGGATTTGAACTCGGGAACGAAAGTCGGACGAAAGAGGGCGAAAATGGACAAGCAGGCAGGGATCACGCCCAAGGTGTAATTATCACGGTCAGCCGACCGTGAAGATGGAGCCAAGACCGTGGAGATGGACACTTCCAGAAGACTTTTCACGTCTCGTGGGCAAGTAAAATATCACGCTCACCAAACTGTGACAATTTCCACTCAACAGTGAAGTCTACTAATGAAACGATACGTTTTGAGTCGAGATCGCGAGCAGGTTCCAACATCACGGGCGTGACAATTGATCGTGAAAAGTGCCCGACTTGAGTATATAAAGAGAAGAGAGCTGAAACCTTGAGGGGAGTTCTAGAGTGAGATTGGGTTCTTCTTGAAATATAGAGAGGAAGTCACGAACCAAAAGAGAAAAAATAGATTTTGACCTTCCCAAGGCTTGAAGAGTGGAGATAAATCATCCAAGGAGGCAATCTAAGAACTTAGAAGGGAAGAGAAGCATCTTACTATGATTAATTCCTCCATCTTTGTTGTATTCCACTTCTTAGTCATGGTCTCATGGAGTAGTTCCCCAATTCACTTGGGTATTGTGAAACCTAGTCTAGGATGTGTTAAATAGTAAGAATCGAACTATGTGTGTGTTGGGTTTGTGTTTAATATAATGTTTGAGGTATTTTTCATGAATCTTGAGTGGTGTTCTTTGATAGAAACCTGCATTTCTATTTAATTAGCAATTGAACTTATTTGATAGTTTATAAATGTTTATGGATTTATTGGGTATTTAGGAATTTAGATTGGGGGTTTAATAAGTTGGGGTAGTTATCGGTAATTAGGAATTGTTATTTAAACTATTTTCTACGTTGAATGAGATTATGGAATAATTAAATCCTAAACCTAATAGCTAATTCCCTTCCCTCTCTCCCTTTTTCCCAGCCGACCCTCACTCTTCCCTCTCTTCATCGGCGGCCAGTGCAGCCGACTTCCCTTCCTTCTTCTTCTTCTTTTCCCAGCCGCACCAAACCATTCCCTTCCCCTTCTCATTACTTCCACCATCACAGGAGCCAACCTAGGCTCATTTCTATTTCAATTCCCTTTTAGTGCATCATTAGATAGATCCCGGAGAACGGGTTTATATCATCTGGTATCAGAGCTCAGGTTCTGACTATTGAGTTCATCGCAACTCTACACCGGAACTGGCAACAG